CCTCTGAGTGGAAATAGAAAAGGACACTTAAACTTTAGCCTTGGTTTCACTTACTGATTTGCAGTATTTTTATCTTGCTCGTCAATGACAAGTTCTCTTGATGGTGTACAATTTATTCTTTACCTCATAAAAAAAATTAAAATCCAATATGAATGTAAAATCAAACACAGGTTAAAGCATTGTGCCCAGGGTCTAAAAAGTACTGCAATGCAAAAAGCTTGGGGAAGGAAGAAAGCTTTTCACTTAACGCTGGAAAGACCACAATGTGGGTGCCAAGTGGGCCTCCTTGAGGAGGGCATTTCACAGCCAGTATGCCATGACTGAAAAGGCCTCCCCTTAACAGCCATTCACACCACACAGGCACCTGGAGAAGGGCCTCGGAAAATGATCTTGGGATCAATGCAGGTATATGAGATTACCCTTCAGATAACGCCTGCAAAAGAAATCTATGATAATGCTTGAGGATCTTTTAAGGGCAGTGGCATGGAATGGAAGGGAAGGTGGACAACAGAAAGAGGGGAGAGTATGTAGATAAAATCTGATGGCCAGATTCAAATAAACCTTTTGTGCATGCAGCCTGGAAATCTTTAATTAAGCACAGTTCCTGATTTTTGTCTGATCTGAAAAACTCTGGTTTCCTGGAATATAAAACCTTCAAACCACGTGTTATGAGTTTAAAATAGTATGTCTTCAGAATGCCAGGACAGTCCCTTAACTCAGGGTCTGCCTGGCAAGACGCTAATGCCCTGAGGGGATAGAGTCCTGTATCGCCATTTTTGGATCAGCATTCCACAGTCACAGTGTCAAAACAATTTCCTAACTTCCTTGAGCTGCTTAGTTGAAGTTTACAACTCAGTATAGCCAGCAACCTAACACTCGGCCTTCGTTCTTCAGGCTCTCATACATGAAACACAAACCCGAGTAAGGTTTCGTTCTTTCCCATTTCCCAATCCAACATACTTTTTGTTGAAGTTCTGTTAGTCCATCTGCTTCTTCTCTCGGCCTGCTCTCCCCCCTCCCTTTCCACTCTTCCACTCTCCTAATTTCTGCTTTGTTTTAGCTTTTGGTCCCACTACCAGGTAGGAGCAAAGGGGAAAGGCTTGCTTGCATCCCTGCTTACTAAGCTGAGGAGTTTGAATTTGCTCAGTAGAACTTACTCAAGGGCCAAGTCAGGTCTCCACTGACGTTATCCTTACCGCTAAAGAAAAAGGGACAGACAGGTGGAGATGAAATAAAAAGCACTTCCTGCTGAGTAATGATGCTTTTAGTTAAACCCTGTTACCCTTTTAATTACTTAAACATATGTTCCAAATAGTGCAAATCTCTCTTGAAGCAAGATGAGATACTCAGTTTTTTCCTTGGTGAATCAGAGGGTCATTGCAGAGTCATTCATTTCCAGTGACTTTGGCATGTAAATTTGAGTTTTTCAGGATGTAAATTCTAACACATTGCTGACCTCTATCTCTTATTCTTCTGACTCCAGTGTTAATTAGTTAATGCTAGAATGAGCATTTACTCCCGGCAGATTTTCTCAAGGTTTTCAAGCATTTTCTTTTTTTTTTAAAATCATATTTATTAAAGTTTCCAAAAATATATACAAAAGAAAAAGAAAAAGAAAGATATTTAAAAACTCAATAGCTGCTCATTTTCTGGGACCCTCCCCCGACTGTATTCCCCTTCCTTAATTTAGTTCTACAAGCTCTCACCAACAGCTTAATTTGTTTGACCTAATTATCCAAATTTGAATTGGAAGCAAATCTTACCACCCCACACTGGCAATGAAAGAAAAAGATTTTCCAAGATCCACCTCAGTTCCTTTCCAATGAATTCTTTAAACACGTCCAATCAAAATAAAATATGTAGTTATGTAAAAATAAAAATAAAGATATAAAAATTCAAAGATGGCTACACAGCCTTTTGACTGGCACCTCCCCCTTCCCGGTCACCTCATATCCACTGGGTTCATTATCAGCTTGGAAGTTCTAATCATGACCAATTTCCTCTGATTCCATCTTGCTGGTTTTTTTAATTTATTAATAATATGTAACTATGTCCAATCTAACAGTGTTTCACTCTTGATCTTTACCACTCCATGTTCTTCCAGTCGTAACTGGTCCTTTATTCTTCTTTTCCTCACTTTCTCTCAGATTTCACCCTGTTCAGCTAAGCAAACTTTCTAACTAGAAATCCAAGACTCTGCAGAGGTTTGGTTATTCAGAACAAAAATCCACGTCCAGTCCCTTCCTTTCTTCAATAGAGTAAATTCATTGTCTCCTTTGAATGTAAATACTCTGTAGACAGGGGCCATCATTCTAGTTTTGCAGCTCAAAAGATAATGTCCCAGCGAACCAGAGCCATCACACCTTAATAATCCAAACTCCTCTAGGGGACTAGACAACTTTGTATCCTAACTGCAAAGTCAAATTGTTGCTATTCTTCCAGTTTATAACCAGCATTGTGGCAAATTGTAGGAAATTAACCGCAGCAAGTCCTCATAACAGTCCCTTTATATTCTCCAACCAGCCACTGACAGCCAGCCAGTCTCCGCTCTTCACCAGGCTCCATCAATCGCCCTGCCCTGGTGGCTGTATTTTTTCTCACCCTCCACTCTTCTCCTCCAGTTAATAGTTCTTATACCTCCCATCGTGAAAATTCAATGGCTTACCAAGAATATACTTCCCTTTTGGACCTTGCCACCAGTCCTTTGTTTGAATGCTTACAATGGGGACTTTTTTAAACGCCCGCCTCGTGCCAACTGAATTCTGAACCCGGTTTCCCACCACTACTGGCTGTTGTTAATATCCAAACCAATGGAGGCAGTCAGCCCGCCGAATGGCATGCGGCTGCGCCGGCAGGGTGCGGAGACTGGGGGCACCACTTCGGCACTTGATCCGAAGCCTCAAAAAGGCCTTCACAGCTCTGGGAGTGGCCAATGGCAAGCCGAGTCACCATGTCCACTAGGACCCGCGCCGTGGGTTTTAAGGGTCCCCGCGCCGGCGCAGTAGGACCCAGCCCCTGCCGGCGACTGAGCCGGAGGGAGCCCATCCGGCGATGGCGCCCAACCCTGAAGTCTCAAGCCAAGATTTACAATTATGAGGTTGATTTGAAGTCATTTTGGAGATGAATGTTGCTTAATGAAGGTCTCCACTTACTCAGCTTTTGAGATCCAGCAATGAAAACATTTGTTCGAGAAAGTATTTAATGCACGTTTGTGTGCGTGGAGCTAAACATTCCTTTCCAAAACTTATCTTGACTTCCTTGTGGCCAGGTCACAAGATGCTTGTGCTTTTCCTTCTTCCTTCTCTGCATCCAGATGGGGTCATCTGAATTTTCCTTGCATTGGCTAACCCACATTTGAAAGGTTTACAGTAATAGGCATCTATTCGACATTTGTCCACAACAAGCATTTTGGATGGTCGTAAACCATGTTTGCACTTTGTTCAGGGAGCAAAGGTACCCAAATACAATGCTGCCAAGGTCCTAACACAGCCCTACACTTCGTGCAAGACCTACATTGTTCTGCCATACCTCTATCAATGTAATAGTCAGTTTCATGTTCGGATGGTATCTAGGGATGATTACTTATCCCTGGAAAAGACCCTGATGTTGGGAAAGATGGAGGGCACAAGGAGAAGGGGACGACAGAGAATGAGATGGTTGGATGGTGTTCTTGAAGCTACCAGCATGAGTTTGACCAAACTGCGGGAGGCAGTGGAGGACAGAAGTGCCTGGCGTGCTCTGGTCCATGGGGTCACGAAGAGTCGGACACGACTAAACGACTAAACAACAACAACAACAACATATCCTGAAAGAGATGCATATTTCATTTAGTTGAATAACTTCCTCTCCTTCCATTCCTACTTCGGGGGGGGGGGGTGACCCAATATTTTGGTGCCTGAGGAAGAAAATCTAAAGGGTGTCCCTCATCCCCATGATAAGATAGGCTGAAGTTGAGGAACTAGCATTTAGCTGCCCTCTCTTGGCACTGCCTCATTTGCCCATAATGGCAAGGCTAGAAGCCCTACCCTTCTCCACAAAAGCTGGTCCCCAACCTCCTAGTGCATGATTCCCCCCCCCCAAAAAAAATGTGTCCAATTTAAATGATTTTATTTTAGTACTTGGTAACTCTGTTGGAAATATAATGCTTGAGGGGTGAGAAAGCCAAAGTTAAATCTATGTGTGATTTAGTCCTGGCAGTAAGCCTCTCAACCATTTCAAGATTGGAGCGTTCTGCTCTGCACTCCTCTGAATGAGATTTTTGGATCCGACTACCTACACTCTGAGCATTGTGCCAGATTTTTGCAATTCGCATGAGTAGCGGCGGGCTGATCGTTCCCTTCTCCCGATGGCAAGGCTTGCAGAATTATAAGCATAAGTGAGTGCTTACTGTTGGGGGCTTTAGAGACAAGTGCCTGTAGGTGTTGTGGTTTTTTTCCTTCCAGGTAATAACATGGCAAATCCAATTTGCAATTGCCGAATAAGCCTCGAAGTAAAATATGATCTTCATAGCAGCATTGGTCAGGGGGTTACTGCTAATCACAGTGCCGGCTTGCTTCCACGGCAGCCTCTGCCTTTAAAACGGCACGTTGAACTGTGTGAATCTGTTGTTTGAGCTCGCCAGCATAGATTTAGACACCCCGGCCTCTCGCTTATTAGGTTCCTCTTTGTCACAGTGCTTAATCCTACTGCCTGATCCTTGTTAGAACAGGAGCGCGGCTGAGGCCTCTAATAAAGGAGGCGGGGTGCGAGGCTGCAAGCCAGGCGCACTCAAGCATGAAGTGCTTAGGGCAATTGCTGCCTGGCTGGGAGAGGGGTGGAGTGCTGGTTCCTGCATGTTATTACGCGAGAGGAGAACAGGCCTTCAGACAGTTGACAGAAGAGGAATGACAAATGGTTCAGAGGGCCCGTCTGAGACCAGCATCCATCTTTCTCCTTTGCACATGTACCAAGGTCATTAGGCTCACCCACTTTCTCCTCCTGGGCTACATTAAGGGTCATGTGGTGCAGTGGTTAAGTGGTTAAGAGCGCTAGGCTTGTAATCTGGTGAACCGGGTTCGGGTCTCCGCTCCTCCACATGCAGCTGCTGGGTGACCTTGGGCCAGTCACACTTCTCTGAAGTCTCTCAGCCCCACTCACCTCACAGAGTGTTTGTCGTGGGGGACGAAGGGAAAGGAGGATGTTAGCCGCTTTGAGACTCCTTCGGGTAGTGATAAAGCGGGATATCAAATCCAAACTCTTCTTCTTCTTCTTCTTCATGTGCTGCAGAGCATGGAAAATGCACACTGTGTGACCACAGCGAACCACAGCAACTTTGGGGGGCACCTGCTCTCAAGCAGCCCATCCCTCTAGTGCTGCTTAGCTCAGCTACCACACGCTTCCCCGTATAATGCCTGAATTTCATGTATTGCTGCCACTTGTTAATCCAGCACTAGGGAAGTGAAGTTGTTCTGATAGCTTTGTCAGTGTGCAATACAAGGGGGCAACAGAGGCCCAGCCCCCCCTGCATATTATCCACAGCCCTTACTCACCTTATAAAATCTCACATAAGGCACGATTCAGCAGAACCTAGACTCGTCTCTCAGCTGTGCCCAAATTCACATTAGCAGGGAAAGAGCTTTGTGACATTTTTGCTCACAGCAATAGTTCAACCTGGCATTTTAAAGACTCAGAGCTTTATTTGATAGCGCTTTTTTCTTTTTTTTTCTAATTACTTTTGTTTCCTTCATTAGTCTGTAACTTAGGGCAGGTAACCAAGCCCCAAAGGCAGCTCCCCAAGCCTCCCTTCCAGGCCATACACACCCCTCCCCAGACCGCAACCCTCACAGCCATGCTGTGTGCCTTTTGTCTAGCTGGAATGTGTTTTCGAACTTGCTGGTCTGGATGGAAGAGGAAGAGAGGGGTGTGTGTAGAAGCTTCTTGACCAGAATGAAGTCTACCGTACAATGTTCAGAGTCACATCTGATGCTCCTCCCAACTTTTGCCTCTGGCCCCTCCCACCAAAGGAAGGTTGTTCATGAGGGAATGTGATTCTTAGGCAGGCATAGGCAAACTCGGCCCTCCAGGTGTTTTGGGACTACAACTCCCATCATCCCTGACCACCGGTCCTGTTAGCTAGGGATGATGGGAGTTGTAGTCCCAAAGCATCTGGAGGGCCGAGTTTCCTATGCCTGCTCTTAGGCATAAAAACAAAGATCCTAGCCAATCTAGGTGGGGCTTGAAGTCACGGCCGAGCTGATTGGAGATCATTGGGAGCTCCTGAGTGGAAACAATCCCAGTAGGGTTTGTATCTGGCGCCAGATTTAGAAGGAACAACCTGGAGTGCATTTTAAAGTGCTTGGCTGTTCCTTTGCAGCTGTGTCTTTACACACATGTGACTTGTGGGCGTGGCTCAAGGAAAATGGCTTCACAGGCCAAATTAAAACTCCTTCTGCATCTGATTAGATCCATGGGCTGGAGGTTCCCAACACTTATAGATGCAGGATAATTTGGTGTCAACTCAGTAGGATGTATTTCTGAGTTAACAGAAATTAGATTTGATTGCACAAATAGTGTCTTATTCAGACTTTCTCGGAAAGAAGTTGACTTCAACTCATTAGGACTCTTTACTTACAGGTAAATATGTTTAGAATCACATTGCACCTTGGTTGATTCTCTCGCTCCTGGTTCTTTAAATGCTGGAGTTATTTAAATTATCCAAGAAGAGTAAATGCCTGTTCAATCCTTTCAGGTAACTTGGATTTGACCGGTCAAAAGCAAGTCTTCAAAGCGGAGAACAATCCCTGGGTCACCCCTATTGCAGATCAGTTCCAGCTGGGCATTTCTCATGTGTTTGAATATATTCGGTCAGAGACGTACAAATAGTGAGTATTGTGCTTCCATTTGTCTTCAATAGCTTTTCTCTTTCTTTCTTTTTAATGGAGTTGTGGCACAAAGCCCCTGTGAGCTTATCAGGGTCAGTTACCTCAATGACTCAACCCACCCGAACCAAACTGAAGATGGAGGTGCTCCTATTAAGCCCTTCCTCCCCAGAATGAATAGCAGCAGGGACTATGCCACACTTTATCGCCACTGCCCAGTCCATACCATTTGCCTGCGCCTTGGCTTGTGTGTTGGAATGCACAGCTGAGGCACATAAAGGGGAGGATTCTGGTGGAACATCTGTTCCTGTTCACAAAGTTGGTGGCCTGGAGTGCCTAGAGAGCACCTATGCTGTGTCTTAGCTCAGAAGAAAGTGTCTTAAGGTACTTTATTTATTTACATTATCTAACTGTATGCTGCTTTTTCAGGTGGACTTCACAAAGCAAATTCAGTAAATTTTTTTTTAAAAAATGGCATCAATAAAAGTTATATAATAAAACAGGAAAGACACAAGAAACTCTTGGTCACTGAAGGAACTGCTGCTGCTTCTCTCCTCCCTTCAGGGCAAGGCAGTTCCTCAGAAGCGCCTCTGGTGGCAGCAGGAGGGGGCTGCTTAGGTAGGGTAGAACCACTAAGCTGGGTGGCTGTTGTTTACTTGATGGGGGTGTTGGCAATGTGGTGCTTTCCAGACGCCGTTGGACTACAGCTTGACCATTACCTGGAGCTGATGGGAGTTGTATTCCAACAACATTTGAAGGTCCTTACATAGGATGCTCTCTGTCATAAACTGGTGGTTATTTGCCCAGACACCACAAAAGTACAAGGTGCATCTCAGCTTTGCAACAGCTCTGGGGTCGGAAGCGCCATGGCCAAGAAGGTTTTATGCAGAGGGAATTATAGGTGCATAAATTATTGAACCGAGCTTCCACCTTCTGGCTTATGATGCATTTTCAATAAGCTCTTCAGTGCTGAATGAATTACCCACCCATGGATTAGAGGATATATGTCAAATTGCAACTGCCATATGTTAGGAGTTATGATGAAACCATAACGAAATGCCTGGCTACACTGAAAGAGATGGGAATCCAGTAATTTTTCAGCAGCGCAATCATTTTATCAGACAGAAGGATGTAATTACACATAGAGTGTGATAGATCCTTAGGTGGGCAAATGTCTTTGATGGGGTGTAGGTTTGAAAGATGGTCTTGCAAGCCATGCTTGTTCCTGCTGAAGTTTCCTGCTTACAACCAGTGGCAGCATCTGGAGGGGAAGGGCAGGTTGGAACGTTTCTTTCTGTCTGAGTGAGAAGGCAACTTTTAATATCAACACTGTACACAAATATCTGGTTATCTTGCTTGCTCTAATAAAGGTGTGCACAGGAGGGGCGTTAAATAGCAATACAACAAATTTATTTTTAGCTGCACACTATACCTTTAAAGTACATTCAAGGCACATTCTTTCCCAGGCATTCTGGCATGCCACATTCTGGGCATTGTAGTTCACCCCTCACAGAGTTACAATTCCCAGCAACCCATAGCAAACTACAGTGCCCAGAATTCTTTGAGGGGTAGGGAGAAACGTGCTTCAAACATGTTTTAAAGGTTTAGTGCACACTCAACATTTGTTAATTAACAACATGCATCTGATGAAGTGGCCATATGGTCAAGAATTGAAATTGATTGCCGTAATCTTCTTTTTAAGCCTACCTATACACTGATACATTTATTTTGACCATAGTATTCTGGTAGTGTCCTAGCAGTGCCTGCGTACCAACATGTTGGTGAGTTTGCAATAGTCACATGAAGTATTTCTTTTGTTTGGCAGCCTAACCAAGGTGCACTATGCATTATGCTAGCAGCTACTGACAGGATTGTCAGCAAAGGGAAGCAGCTGCCTTGGGTGGAAGCTATTCAGGAGTGAATAGAGCTCTGTGTGCCATTTGTCCAAGCTGGCATTCCTTAAGTGAGCTTGCTCCTCTCGGGTACAATGACAGCTTCCAGCAGGACTCAGTTGCTGGTATGGCTGGCTCTTGTGCATGCAATTGGGGGTGGGGCATCATCTTGTCCTTCACCCCAGGCGGCAAAATCTCCTGGGTACCAAAGTCCCATGGTGTGGAAAATTCTACCCCGTGATAACCACCCATACAGTAAGCAGGTTTTTTATAAAGTGAGGAGAAACCTCACTGCACACACACCTGTTCAGGAATCCTTGCCCTCCCCAACTGGCAAGGTATTCGGTACTGTCAAATTACAGTGTGGTTCTGTGCACATCGTGGCAAGTTATTACGTCGTAAATCGTTACCTGCATCCACATTTGCTTCCATGTTGCTCTCAGGAGGTACTTGGGATTCTTTGCATGTTTACAGATGTGCAAGCAACAGAACTCCCAAGAGGAGACATGTATCATTTGCACCTTCTGTAAACAAAAAAGGAAGCTGGACTAATTGAGCAGAAATTATTATGCAGTCTCCAGAGTGACTATGGATGTCATGCCAATTGAACCACCCCAGGTATGAGCAAAGGTGGCATCAGTTACTGAGGCCCAGTTACCTTGCTAGCTTCACTCAACAAGCATATCACAGTCCTTCGGAGAGACCGCACCCTATCCTCGCTACTGCCATTTATCTGGGAATGTGACTGCATAAAGATGGCTTTCTCAAATAAGTAGAAACCTGGTTTTCCAGCAGTCAAAATTGTTTGCACATAGGAAGTTGCATTATACCAGTACATTATACCTTTGGTCCAATTAACTCAGTGTTGACTACATTGAATGTTAGAGGCTCTCCAGCCTTCCATTTAGGGATCTCTCCTAGCCCTCCCTGAAGATGCTAAGGTTTGAACCTAGGACTTTACCACAGAGAGCTTCCCAAAATAATAGCTCTTTGTTATCTTTGTGGGGGTGTTCCTTTATGCATGTTAAACAGTTTGTTTCCCTACAGAGAAGCATCAAAGCATATAAAGCATAACGACAGCAATTTTATCTAAAAGGCAATATCTACATGGGGGGGGGAGTGGTTGTGCCCCTAGTCAACTTTTCAAAGTGACCTTTTTTGTTATGTGTATCCTCTGAGGATCTTGTATGTCTAGAATAGTGACAAAGACATGATGGATAGTATGATTTATTGGCTATAATATACTCAGCAACTACACACGGGCACAAATGTTTAGAACAAAACAGCAAATGAAACTCCTATGAAGAATTGCAGTCTGGAAATA